GCACTGGAAAAGAATAAAAACAGCACCGGAAAAGAATAAAAACAGTAATCGACGGGAAAGAAGCAATTCTTAATGGTGATGTGGGACCCATTGGATGGATTTCATGCGTTTTCACCATGTGGCATCTGACATGGCAAACGTTTTATGCAAATCATCACCTTTTTAAGTTTTGCTCTCCACATCATCAAAAAAAATATAAAAAATGCCACCTAAGCAGGGTTAACAGACCAATCTAACAGAAGGACTAACGAAGTGCATTTCGTATAGTTAAGGGATCAAAAAAGTACAAAAAATTATTAAAGAACCAAAAATATGTAACTCACTAAAGTTGAGGGACCAAATCTAGCATTTAACCTTGGTTAATTTATAGGACAAAACCCTCAAGAAGTGATTTCTTTAGCGCGTGACAGCAATCTCGAGGCAAAAACTTATTTTTAATCTTTTATATTAATAAATTTATAAATTTTAATATTTTATATTATATTATAATATTTTTAACCTTTTCATTTTTTTAAATTAAAAATAACAATCTCTTGTTTTTAAAGTTAAAAAAATGACTCTTATTTAATGTTAACTTATAACGTTTGTCAACTAATTATTAATATTTCATTAGCTTTAATTTTATCACTATTAATAATTTATTAACTGACTATTAATATTTTGGTAATAGTTAATCAATAAATATTATAATCTCACGGTAATTAAAGGTTATTTTCTTTGATTTGTAAAGGTAATAAATTAAAAATTTTATATTATAAGTTGAGTTAAAATTTATAAATTTATTAAAATAAAAAATTAAATGTAAATTTTTACCCAACATCAAGGGCTCGTGCCAACCCAATAGTGTTGTTCTTTATATTAATGTTATATTATTTTAAAATATCTTTAGTGAAAATTTTTCATCTGAGATTTATTTATTTATGATAATTTTATAATTTTAAGTTTTAACACTTACACTTTTAATCATAAGTAGTCTTAACCGAAAGAGATAAAAACTTTTTTAAAACGTGAAAAAAAAATATTTTTAATAAATAAGGATAGATTTAAAAAAAAAAACATATTAAAAAATTTATCTTTCCCTTACTAATATTTTTAAAAACTAAATTATATTAAAAATTTTATTTATATAGATTATATATATTAATGTAAACTATCGAGTTCTTGCTTGCTCCCTAGTCCAATCTCATGATGAGGTGGAGGCTTCCCTATCATGAGTTCCTCATTTGTATTTGTGTATCTTTGTTGGCTGACAACAGAGTTCCTAGCAGTTGCAGGCCTCTTGCCCCGACGGGCTCCATCAAATTCTTCCTCTCTTTTTCTCTTTAACTCCCTCACTCACTCAAATGGGGTTCCCATTGCTGCCACATTCAAACCAAAAGAGTTAGCCCTCAAAAATTATGGCAGCAAAGTTATAGCCCAAGACGGGCTGGCAAAGTACACCAAAATCCTTGGGTCATGCCAAGGTCCAAGTTGCTCTAGCGACAATTGTAAAATCTCCAATTTCCCAGAGCTACTTGAATTCACCATACCTCCCAAACTACTTGAACCTGCAGCAGTGACACCCTCTAGTCCCACTGTTTGAATCATTTCACTTTCAAGGTTCTGCAGGTTAAGAAAATGTTAAAACAGTAGCCGTTCTATAATTTGAAATGCAACATAACATCTATATATACCTCCTCCAAAGTTGCCCATGGGTTCTGCAAGTTAATAATTAAAATTGTTAAAACACTAATTCCATGGTACATACGTAATTACAGCATCATCAAAAGATAAAGCAGCAAGATTGCCATACCTTTGAAGAGTTTTTCAGAATCTTTTGAATTTCCTGCAAGTTAAGAAAAAGTTAAAACAGAAATTTCAGACATGGAATAGCGTCAACATTATTAAAAGATAATGCAGCAAAATATTCCCAACCTCGTCGGAGTGTTGCTTTGCTTCATTTTCCTGGAAGTGGAATTTAAGAGGAGTTGGAAAGAGTCAGATAAACAGTGATGTAATTAATGTAGTAAATACTACCAAAAAGAAAAGATGGTTGGAAGGAAGTACCAAAGCTTCAGAAACCATCCCGAATGTTTCACATAATTTTCTTCGTTCCTCTACCTTGACATATGTTAAAACAAAGATTAGTTAAGTAATAAATCAAGGGAAAAGGAAGTAAAAATTTATTTTTCAATCTTTTTCAACGGCACATATATATATATATATAATTACTAGTGCATAAAGAAAAGCTTTGGATAAAAAACTCAAGGGAAAGCTCATCACACCTCTTCTTCATGCTTTTCACAAAAGGCTTTCCCCTCTTCAGTAATCCCTTTCTCCTCACAAAATTCCATGAACAGTTCTTGCTGTTTCTGAAGACTAATGAATTCACACTACAAAGATACAATTCAAACAGAAATCTTTAATTACAAAGAAAAACTATATATCACTAAATTCAACTAAATTAAAGATTAAAACAGAATAAATGAAGATTTTTTTATGCACACTACAAACATATAATTCAAAGTAATCTTTAATTACAAAGAAAAACTATCACTAAATTCACCCTACAATTATATATAATACATGTGGAAACAACAAAACATCTCTTTACCTTCTCATTTTCCCGACAATCTCTATGTCTTTGTATATTCTTCTTGGGCCTTATCTCCTCCTCTTCAACTGATTGTTGCTTCGGCGGATGTCCTCCTCCTTGTTTGTTGTTTTTTACTTTCCCTTTTTTCATTTTCAGTGATAATCTTTGGATTTCTGCAAAGAGAGAGCCAAAAAAAAAAAAAAATTACTAATTCGAGTTGACTCTCATCTTATTAATCCAGTGAGCAGATCCGGTAAAAGAAATTGAGATTCAACCAAACAAACAAAGACAGAGACTGGAAGTCATAAACCCCAAAAAAATTAAAAGCAAAAGAAATGACCCAGAAAAATTATTAAAATAACCAACCATGTATGGATGTACTCAAATCATGATGAAACACCAGAATCTCTTACAAGATGAAACACCAGAATCTCTTACAAGATGAAACACCAG